TGCCTGCCTATGAATGGGTTTGAATTGTTTGCGATGGTTCTTAACGAAATTATTTTGAAAAACGTGCGTTAAAGTAATTACGGTAAGGGTTTATAGCAGTTACGTCATGTAGCACCTATTGCGTTAAATACTGTTAGGATTTATGACTATTACGGTATATCGCGCCTGATGCGTTACTGAGGGTAAGGATATATGGTATATCGCATATCGGTGCATATCGGGTAACAATATATGGTATATCGCATATCGATGCATTAAGTACAGTAGGGATTTATGATTATCACTGTATGTAGCGCATTAACTATGGTAAGGATTTACGACTTTTGTCAGTGAATTTCAGTTATCAAAATACATACATTGAGCTAATACGGTAAACGGCGCAAAGTGCCCAGTTGGACATAATATGCCATTTAACTCTGGTACGTATTCTAACTGTAATGTTAGCATGTATTTTCTCAATACAAAAATTCGGTAGATATGGTAGGATTGATATAAAGGTATGTAACTACGGTGACAGAAGATACAGTTTTAGTTAAGAGTGCTAGTACCTTGTTTCATCCTGGATTATTGGGGTGACTATGGTAAATGTGATTCGAATGATGATGTTGCTATTGGCAACGTGCAATTTCGACATATACGGAGTTCAGCAATGGATACGAAACGGTGCATTGCCATTGACAATATCACGACTTACGCGTATGGACACCGCTGTATTAAAGAGAAAATACCATGCAAAAAAAAAATGGAGAAGATTTACCACAGCCCACGGGGATAGTGGAAAGGCACAAGCCCTATCACCAAGCTCGCTTAAGCGGCCAAGGTCTCCAAAGACACGGATAAGGACTGGTTAATGAAACAAGCCCCGTACAATTCCCATTTGCCGTACGTTTTGACCTACGCTGGGTGGCATGTCCTCAGTCGATACAAAGAGGCCGTTAACCCTGAAAGATTTGCCTCAGTTGACCGTCAAGTAGCCAAGTCGATGGAAAGAGGCCTAAAGATGGAGCCCTTTGACTAAAAGGCCTACCAAATTACAAGTCGGAGCCCTTTGACATGGCCTAGTTCATGTCAATCCAGGACGTGTCGCAGTTCATTTGCAAAACACCAGGTCGAGGTCAGGCGCTGTACAGCAGGTGCCCATCGCAGCCAAGCCATCATGAAGAGATTCAATTGCACCTTAGCCAAACGCCTGTTCAGACATCATCAGTATGCAGGAAATGGTGACGCCAGAGCAACGATCAACAGAATAAGTGGTCTGTATACCCCAAGTGGTGGCAGCGACACAAATGGTCACTCGATTGATCGACAAGAAACCTGTCAAAGGGCAATGAAATGAAATCGATGAGTGCCGAATCCTCCGCACCGAGACATGGTGGTACAGAGAAGAAACTGTCAGACTGGGTCAGCATGAGGTATTTATACAAGCTCAGTGAATTCAAAGGAGGTGATTGACGCTGTGCCACAGATTCAGTGTGGTCCATGAAAAACGTATAGTATCGAGTGAGTGTCTATCAAAGAAGGCGAACCTCATTTGTATCACCTGAAGGATAGACCAGGCGCGGGATTCATACAAGAGGACTTGGTAACCATCCCCAACAACACCGCATTACCACCTGTATTACGACTCTGTACGATAGTTTAGGTCAGGTGGGTACCGAATGGATAGAACCTCTCATGGATGCTTAGTCAATCATAGCCCTGAGTACAACGGCCGCTCTGCCCCGTAAGGAACCTACTCCTTAGCCGACTTTGACCAGATACTGTTTGACCTCATCCATAACACAGTCTCTAGCTATTACGATTATTAAAAAAATAATAATAAACATGAAAAAAGCCCATCTCTCTTTCACAGAGGGGACATCATGGGATGTCCCTGAGTCACACACACACAATCCTTCCCACCCCTCACCCCATTGTCAACCAACTGCTAAGAGCTGAATTGGCCCGATGTAATGCTTTCAGAGGTAGCTGTAAAAGAACTGTCATTTCCTTCACTACTATCGGGGATATACACATGTGTCAAAACATTGAAAAGAAATATTCATATGTACATGAGCGTCATAAAACTTGAGGAGCCCTCGATGCAAAGTACATCGACAAAACTAGATAGTGCCTACAAATTAATCGGTTATCTTGAACTGGCATTTACAACAACAGGTATTTTGAAAAGCGATTCAATATCGTAGGAATGTGTCCAACTTACCTCATACATTTTCTAGGCATGGAAATATTTACAAGGAAATAACAAGTTAGACATAATCATGACAATAAACGTTAAATATTTCTTGCTTTGAAACAAGAAAGGAGAGAGCTGTGAATTCCTTGGGTTTATTCAAGCAAGCGAGTTTAAAAAAGCCAAGATTTTATACCTCACAGCTCTACTTGTGTATCACTATAAAATTTATCTAAAGTTAAAGCACTATGTATCCTATGCTGACAAATATTACAAAACGAGGTAGGTGGTCAGAAGGTAATTACCTAACAAGACTTGATTTTCTTTACAGTGTCGCCACGGTCAACTTGCGCCAGCTGCTAACAAAATATCTGTCAGCACTTGACCGTGACATTTACGACAGGACAAAGAGGATGGTATAATGGTAATCTACATCTTGTTCAACAAAAGTTGATTTTCGATTATGACTTAGTTGGTGGTAAAACATGAACTTGCTGGGATGGGAATATATAGGTGGATGATGAAATATATGCTCTGTAATATATACATAACACCAACCCTCAACAATCAGTTGATTTGAAGTGTTTACCGTCTAAGAGTATGTAACAGAGCAAATGTTTTCCCCCATTCAACACACCGATAGTATGGAATTCCACTTTGAATCCTTATGTGTTTCTACAGGGTGCCTGCAGGTGTACATCCTTTCCCAAACCCAACATAGTGATAAGTCTTCACTGCTTGATTCCACTGTAAATCCTTGTGAGTATCTCAAGATGACCTCAATGTGTAAATTCTGTCCCACTTTCAACACATTCATAGCTCTTGATTCCACTGTACATCCTCATTTGGGCCTGCAGATTACCTGATTGTGTCATTTTTTCCACATTCAACTCATTCATCAGGCTTGATTCCACTGTGAATCATCATGTGTGTCTGCAGACTACCTGATTGTGTAAATCGTTTCCCACATTCAACACATTCATAAGGCTTGATTCCACCGTGAATCCTCATGAGTGTCTGCAGACTACTTGATCTTGCTGTCAGCTGTCCATCATGACGTCCATTGACCTTTATGACCCAACACTGCCGCTGTTACGGGTCATTGGCTCCCTCCCTCTGCAAGCATTCTGTGTTCTGCTGTTGATTTTGTTGACAGTTACATGGACAGATTCTTTAATACAAATGCATAAAATCAATGATTTACAATTTGATTAGGTTGTCTGACAAAACATCCACTTGCACAGTTTGAGATCAATTGGGTCATTGGATGAAGAGATATTTACAAAAAAACGGATCCACATGCATTTCATGCCAAACTTTAATTGTGCAAATTTTCCCCCACACGCAACACATTCCTAAAGCTTGATTCCACTGTGAATTCTCATGTGTGCCTTCAGACTACTGGAATGTGTGAACATTTTCCCACATTCAACACATTTATAAGGCTTGATTCCATTGTGAATCCTCATGTGGGTCTGCAGATTTCCTGATTGTGTAAATCTTTTCCCACATTCAACACATTCATAAGGCTTGATTCCATTGTGAATTCTCATGTGTATCTGCAGATTTCCTAATTTTGTAAATGTTTTCTCACACACAATGCACTGATGAGGTTTGATTCCACTGTGAATCCTCTTGTGTGTCTGCAGACTATTGGAATGTGTGAACTTTCTACCACATTCAACACATTCATAAGGCTTGATTCCACTGTGAATTCTCATATGTATCTGCAGATTTCCTAATGTTTTAAATGTTTTCTCACACACAGTACACTGATGAGGTTTGATTCCACTGTGAATCCTCATGTGTGTCAGCAGATGACCTGATTGTGTAAATGTTTTCTCACACACAACGCACTGATGAGGTTTGATTCCACTGTGAATCTTCATGTGTGTCTTCAGACTTGTTGAATGTGTAAATCCTTTCCCACATTCAACACATTCATAAAGCTTGATTCCACTGTGAATTCTCATGTGTTCCTGCAGACTATCTATTCTTGTAAATGTTTTCTCACACACAATGCACCGATGAGGTTTGATTCCACTGTGAATCCTCATGTGCCTCTGCAGACCACTTGATTGTGTAAATGTTTTCCCACATTCAACACATTTATAAGGCTTGATTCCATTGTGAATCCTCATGTGTCCCTGCAGAGTACCTGATTGTGTAAATGTTTTCTCACACACAATGCACTGATGAGGTTTGATTCCACTGTGAATCCTCATGTGATTCCGAAAAGAACTTGAATATGTAAATTTTTTCCCACAATCAACACATTCATAAGGCTTGATTCCACTGTGAATCCTCATGTGTGCCTTCAGACTGCTGGTTGTAGTAAACTTTTTACCACATTCAACACATTTATCAGACTTGATTCCACTGTGAATCTTCATATGTTCCTGTAGATGACCTAATTGTGTAAATGTTTTCTCACACACGATGCACTGATGAGGTTTGATTCCACTGTGAATCCTCATGTGAGTCTGAAGATTACTTGAATTTGTAAATTTTTTCCCACATTCAGCACATTCATACGGCTTGATTCCACTGTGAATTCTCATGTGTGCCTTCAGACTACTGGAATGTGTGAACTTGTTCCCACATTCAACACATTCATAAGGCTTCATAACCTTGTGAATCATCATGTGTTCCTGCAGATTAACTATTTTTGTAAATGTTTTCTCACACACAACGCACTGATGAGGTTTGAGTCCACTGTGAATCCTCATGTGTCTCTGCAGACCACCTGATTGTGTAAATTGTTTCCCACATTCAACACATTTATAAGGCTCGATTCCCTTGTGAATCCTCATGTGTCTCTGCAGTTTACCTGATTGTGTAAATGTTTTCTCACACACGGTGCACTGATGATGTTTGATTCCACTGTGAATCTTCATGTGTTTCTGCATATGACCTGAAATGTTAATTTTTGCCCACATTCAACACATAAGGGTTGATTACAATGTGAATCTTCATATGTTTCTGAAGATAACCTGACAGTCTCAATGATTGAACAAATTCAACACACTCATTCGGCTTGAATCAACTGTGAATCGTCATGTGTGTCCGCAGACTACTTGAATGTGTACAGTTTTCAAACATTCATTACATTATACTCCACTGTGAATCTGCATATGTACGTTAAGAGTATCTGATCCTGTAAATGCTTTCCCAAATTCATAGCGCTTGATTCCACTGTGAATCTTCACATGTATCTGAAGATTATCCGATAGTGCGAAGCTTTTCAAACATTCAGCACACTCATAAGCCTCGATTCCACTGTGATGGAGGGCATGCCTTTTTTAGAAAATGTTTCCAGGCTTTCACAAACCAGGGTTTTTGAAACTATTTCGAATAACAGGTTCTTTTATGAGATCACCTAGTTCCAGGGTTCCAACAACAGTTTTTGTCATGAGATCACCAGTTTCCAGGGTTCCTATGTATGGGTACTTTCTTGATATCACCAGTTTCCAAGGTGTCAGTAAAAATGTTTCTCGAGATCTCCTTTTTCCAGCAAACCCCTTTAGCAGATTTCATTTGTTTCAGTGACAGGAGAAGGATTCTGTGGATTGCTTTCAACTTCCATCAATAACCCCTGGATGTTATGGTGTTTACTGAAAACTTAAGAAAAGTTGTAACTCACTTATAACAATTAGCTTAGGGACTATACACAATATAATGGTATGACATAAACCTGATACGTTAAAAATGTCTTCCCACACACAACACACTTGAATGATTTTCAATATTCAGTATGGAAAACGCCAGTGATGGGATGTATGATTATCCTCTCTATAGTCTAACAATGAATTGTAATCAGCTGTTTTATATCAAAACTGTTTTTGACATTAGATATTTACTGGCTATGACTAGTTCATTATTCTGTCAAAAAACAATTGGGTGTCATGCAAAGCTGTGTACCGGTGATATACATCATTGAGTAAAATTTGTTAACAGCAATGAATATATTTGATTATTATTCCATTTAACCCAAATATTGTCATCAGCATACTTACAGTTTAAAAACTCTGCACTGAAAAAATACAAATATGTCTTCATGTGAACATAATTTCATCTAACTTTGATCAATCTAATTACATAATGATTTTGCATAATAATATCACTATATAATGTCCTGCCTATGGTATCTGACTGAACCAAAGCGAGGTCAGAAATCATAGGAAGGTCAATGCTTATTATGCACACTTGTTCTCGTCACTATATGGTTGGAATAATGCCGATGTGACGTAAAGCCCAACTCAACTCAACTCAACAACCATAGGAAGGACATAAGTTTTGTATAATTCGTATGTAATGAGACTGAGTGTGGTATTTTATTTATTACCCACGTCTTACATGCATTAAATTGACAAAACAGCGTACTTTGTTATTGTTATGGTTTAAAACTGAAGAAGGTTTCATAAAGAGGTTGCGGAAGAATATTGTTCTGTATTTCACTTTTGCATGACGTGACACCGTATTAACGTGTTTGCTATGAATGAACAAGTAGTTCCGTCACAACGTGACCTATTTGAGACGTCATCGGTTATCCAATCAAATCGTTAGAATCTCTGGTCAAGTCGTTACAACACAGGTCAACGCAATACGACACTCGTGTGACGTACGAGATTAGTATGCAACTACCCACACGTTGACCACGTGGGTAATAACATAGGAGTGACACATCAAATCATTAAACAGCTGGAGGGCCTTTAGATCCAGCAACAGAACCTTTCGTGGGTTGACAACTTCTAAACATTTATTTCTCAACGACATGAATGGTTGTCCTTGACACAAAATGTCAAGTCATATCACCATGATCAGGAAAAACAATACATACACAATTTATATTTAGGCTTCCTGCTCAACATGGAAAGACGTTGTGCTATGAAATTCTCATTCTAGACTTGTACGGCACATGTACCACCTGTGTAATCCTCTCAATGATACTGTCAAACACATTCGACAGGAGAGCAGCATAATGACATCTCCAAATAAAACTTGCAATAATTATTCAATCAGTTGGATTTACGTGTCATTTGAATTGTGTATAGTATGCGTTAAATCTCAGCTTTCTAAATATATAATCTTCAATTAGTTTATATACCTTAAAACGAAACGCCTGTGAATTAAAAATGTGATCGCAAACTTTCTCAGCACACAGTCTCAAATAACTTCTGGTACATCACGTTGAGTGGAACCCAGTCTAATATTTTCTTCATAATGAAATTATTTTTTTAATAATTTGATATCAACATTTGTTTTCTTTTGTGAAGAGGAAACACTGAAGGTTCTCGTTTTCTAAAAATTAGTAACTTTCGGTTTAATTACTAAATTAGTTAAAAACAAAAACAATCTCAATGTTACATCTCCGACTGGATGAATAGGAACGATCATGGCAACGGTGGTAAACAAACAACTCCACCATGCACCGTGATACTGAAAAGAATGTGCCATCCTTTTGCTTGTGTTGTATATTTTTTCCCCTCAATATTGCCGCTGGTACTTGAGACCTTTATTTTTACAAATCCAAAGTCGTAATGAATTTCACGGTCGGTGATTTTCGAATAATGTTCTGACACAGGGAGATATTATAAAATGTTAGTATGTCATAACAATAACATAAAATTGTTCTGTGTCTACCATCAAAAGGACAATTTTGATGGTTGAAGATGTCATGCATGAAATCTTTTTCCTTTCTCAGAAACAGATGAAACAAGATCTAGTGTAAGAATGTAATGTTAATGAATTTCTTAAAAATTAGAATGACGAGATAAAAAATAGTCATTAAAACAGGTAAACAGCACATCTTTTGTTCTTCAAGTTGGAGCATAATCGAAATATACTGAACAGCAAAAGAAACGCAAGTCTAGCTTTTTGTCCATTTTCTCAATAGAAGAAAACCAAAATTATGTGTAATCATTTATTCTATAGAAAACACTGTCAATTTAGCAGCTGAAAGTTGCAATAACATTGGATTGCAATAAGTTCAAATTCATCACAGTCCGTCAAATGGAGATACCCCTGAACGCGAAAAGTGACAGTCTCTTTAGTAGCGCGTATAGCCACCTTGACCTTGCACAGAGGCCGTTCAACGTCACCTCGTTGAGTTCACTAAAGTCTGAAAGAATCCCTGAAGCAATTGATTTCATTCAAACACCAGTCTCTGTTCCAACTGTGAGTGGCTGTCTACCTGCAGCAATCCTACGTCCAATGTTGTCCCCGAATGTTCAGTGGGAGCCATATCCGGGGAAAGAGACGGCCATGGAAGAACATTAATGTTGTTCTGAGCCAGATAATCCATCGACACCCTTGCTGTTTGAGGGCGGTAAACGTCGCTGGCGTTGTTGACCTGTGTCACTATTGGCCAAACATATGGCCGTCAGCAGTGGATTCCAGCAGCCCGAAAGATGACGACGTCAAATCGTATCGATTGACACTGCTCCCCTTGACCCATGAACTGAGGCAGCTGTTACTGTTGCTGCTTGTGTTTGGTTTCTCTAGATGAGTGGCCCGGATGAACCGATCTTGCGCATGAGTTGTCACTCATGGCCGCCTGGTATGGGAACGATCAGCAGCAACCCCAGTTTGCTGACGACGTTGAGCAAGTCCTGTAATGGTGGTAAGATCATCTTAGATGACAGCCCAATTGTCTAGCTAAAGCGGTTGCAGAGCTACCTCCGTGCAACTTTCTAATGGCCACTCCCCTCTGCTCTGTCATTAGTCTACGAATCGTTTGTGTGGCGTGTACACCTCCTAGCGTCAATACTCAACTTTTTTTGGACACAAACATAAAAGATACCTCAGAGTGAAATGCATGCATTCCATCCAGAACCATCGATGCACGTGCTAACATTATGGCTTTGCTGCACTGTGGGTGTGCTTGTGCGAATGTTTCGTATGGACGTCAAATTGCATAACATCATCTCATCTGAGATCATTACGTCACTTTACCATGAACGTTCCATAAACATGAACATGCTTACTTTCATAAGATTTCATTTTTTTTCGAAACTTGCTTTTCTTTTGCTGTTCAGTATAGTTCTGTTGCCTAAAAAAGCAGAGCTTTCAGAGTTTTAATTCTACCTACTAGTTTTTCACATTGTTTGAGGTGTGTGCATTTTAGAAAAGAACAAGAAGACAAAGTCATCAATATCCCCCGCAATGGCAAAATACTCTTCATGATTATGTCTACGAGTTATGATTATGTCAAAGAAGAAAGGGCAGGTGATGTGCGTGGGTGAAATTTCTGAAGAGCACGTTTCGTCACTCAACAGCTTTGATAGAGATTGATTATTGGCTATATCGTTGACAAGTCGATATGCTGAATTTCGGCTTTATCAACTCAAGCTATCATGTAACAGTTTGTGTATTGTAGACATATATACTGGTAACGATGTATGAAATATACACATAAGACAAATGGGAGTAGATAGACACTTTGGCGAGTTTATTTGTCCTCAGAGATCGAAAACACATTTTAGTGTTTTTCGATAAGTAAACCAAAGCGATTGAAATCCAACCATTGAGTAGAGATAGTATTTATTTTCATGTACATTTTACGCTCACAACTAGTACATAAAACATAATGGCTTGCTGTACATGTAAATATAATCTTCACCTTGATACGAATGAATATCCAAACTAAAGTACACGTATTACAGAATCCACGAAGTGACTCTATACTGAATTATTTTATTGTATACTGTATATTGCAGTTGAATCCCCCCAAATATTTATAAAGAAGGGTGTGCCTATATTTATACTGAATGCAAATGAGGTTCATAAGATAACAGATGTGCATGTATGCATAAACGTTACAGAGAGGGGCGTGTCTCTCAAAAGAAAGCTGTCCAATGATATAATAGCGCATCTGTTTATTTTACACTTGTCACGGGACAAACCTTTCAACAAGGGCGTAACTACATTTGCATTCTACCGGACGCAGTTATTTCAAGGTCGAAAGAGGTCTTCAGTTATCTCATTATTGTAATCTGATTGAATGATTATACGCATGTGTATCGATACACTGATAACTGATATACTATCCAGCTTTTATTGACGATGGATCAATAGAGACTGAGTTCCTTGATACACGTGATCATTAAAGCGGATTTGATAATTGCAGAGATCAAATACAAATGTTTTACACAATGCTCATGTAAATTGCATAGAAAACTGACAATTTAAATCAACATGAAACTTTCAACAGCTTGAACAAAAATGCTTGAAATACCCTTGCATTGTTTACATGTAATAATTTATGATATTACTTCTGTGTATGTCTAAGAATTTTCTGAATTACCAATTTACTGTGTTTCGTAACAAACGTAGTAAAAGATTTCATTGTTGTAATAACACTGACATGCAGAGGCCCAGATAAGCTGCGTGTCCGGGTAAAATACGCATAGAAAATTTCCAATTACGCATTGAAAAATAATTGTTGCGTACCAATTACGCATCTAAAATGTTAGATACGCATAAAAGTTTAAAACAAATGCGCACGGAATATATTTATAAAAATCGCTTGCGTAATGAAAAAGACATCATTGCTATCAAGTTGTACTGTTAGTATAGGATGAGTGATTTTTTATCAAATCATTTCCATTATATTTAGTTGGTTTTGATTAGGTATGATATAAGGCAGAACATTCTTGCTTAGTAAAGTTACTCAATGACATAATACTTAGGTGAGTAAAATGACTGAAATACGCACATATTTGAAAGCAGTGGGTAACGGAAAATGAAATAGCCACTCAACATTCATAATACTCACTCCAAAAGAATACAGTGGGTACAGTACCCACATGAGCTTAATCTTATCTGGAGCTCTGTGACATGTATATATATTCCATGCTAAAGCGCGACTTGTCACTTTATATTCGATTAGGTAACAGTATCAAGTTTAGATTATGGAAAATAACTAGTTACAAAGTTGAAGTTGGAAGAAAATATATTCTTCAGTAACCGCTAAACCATTACATCTATTTCAATCAATGTGCATAAGAAATATTTTAGGTGGTATCCTCTTTC